AATGACCCACATGATCCTTCCTGGGATGGTGAAGAAGGGAAAGGGGGTCGTTATCAATGTCTCCTCTGTTGCTGGCATCTCCCCGGTTCCTTTCATGACAACCTACTCGGCAACAAAGGTATTTTAAAATATTTTTCCTACCAATCTTCTCAGATGAAGAATGCAGGACACGTGTGCATGCACTCATACCAGAGTTGTACCTATGATATGTTAAAAGCCACTAACATTCGTCGTTGCAGGCACTTTCTTTTCCATCTTAGTTCTCCCGAACCTCCTTGAATAAGGTTGAAAAGTTTGTCTTGTTTATCACTTTAACCATACGGAAAGACGTGACGAGGACGAGGGGGATCGAATACCAATGAAGTAGCAAGAATCTGGACTCAAAGTGAGAATGGTGTTGTGATTGAGGCTTTCTACGGCCGAGGTACCGTCTCTAGGACGAATTTTTTGCTTGTACAACTGGTAACTAGTACTAAATGGGAGTTTGGACACACTCACATGCCTGACGCCCACGGTATAAACTCTCTATGTAGGTATCACGCCTTTGGACTGATTTATGGGACGAGAATGCGTGAATTGATCGGTCAAAAGAAACCGAGCGCGACCGGCATCACACATTCTCAGGGCATACACCTTTTCTTTGACTGGGCCCCCTCATCCACACTCTCTCATCGACACCACCAAATGTGATGCGGACGAGGTGGCCAACTATCCTGAACTCTCTCAATCTCACACCTATAAACTTCTTCGTCTGGGTTTATATCAAAGAAAAGGTATATGACAAGGGACTATGTGATGTGACAGACCTAAGGAACCGCTTAGGGGAAGCATTTACCAGCCTTACGCAGGAAATGTTAGTGGGCGGCACTCTCGTACCGCTGGGTGCTGTTGTCGTCAGCGATACGGTTGACATGTGGGTGACAGACAAGAATATGCATGAGACAATACATTAACACAAAAAATGTACAGGTTTATGCAGGGGGGATTTCATGGCGATGAAGTACTTTGCTATTGATTTATGACAGGTTATTTTTGAGTTATACCTTCATGGACATCTTGTATATTGCACGTTGGATATTAGTTTTTTCCCCTGCGGTCAGTCAGGATTTAATAGCTTAGCATAGCTCAGAATACCAAGAATGTTAAATTAAGGTGTCCCCCCGCGTACTGAAAAAGAAAATCCCGGTAATTAATTGCACGATCATTCTTAAAGTGATGTACGGTACATATTTTCGGGAAACTATGCATCATTTCACTTTCCTTTCAGGCATTCGTTGACAGTTTTTCTCGGAGTCTGGCCTATGAATACAAAGACAAAGGGATTCACGTCCATCTCGTCGGTCCTGGGTCAGTTTTCCTCAAAGGCAGACCAGCAATTACAGTCATTTCCATTTCATTGTTTAAAAAAGGGAAGTGAATATACTACTATTCCTTTCTTTATATACCACGAACTGCATTTAGTGAAGAAGCGCTCTGTCAGACTTGATTGTAAACCACTGTTGAGCAGTTAAGCTGTTGCTGTTCAAGTGGCTTTTGTCCTGAATTACTGCACACTATATTGGGCTTTGCTGTTTTTAACTTGGCGAGCAGGTTCGTGTACACGAAGATGGCTGACAAATTCTTNGTTATGGATGTTGTCACGCTTCTCTCTGTTCTCAGTGGTGACGGGATGCACGGACGGGATCGGGCTCAGCTACGCGAAGGAGGTGAGGGGTTCGCACATCGTGATTCAAACAACAATCTCACGAGAAATAAACGGTTTTGCTCTTGTTGCAGCTGGCCCGACGCGGAATGAAAATCGTTTTGATCAGCAGGAATCCCAAGAAGCTTGAAGCTGTCGCTGTGGATTTGAGTAAGATGTTCTTTCTTTTCCTTTTTTTTTCAGTCATTCCTAAGGATTACAATTTTTTGTAAGTTTCTACATTCGTAGATTTTTTTCAAATAATTTGGGGAAAGCATGTAAATCCTTCGATGAACTGGAAAGTAAGAAGAGTTTTAAGGGTCAAAGGTCGCGTTATCTTTTCTTCCAGCGGGATGTTCGCACGTTTTGAAAATCGACAAAAAAATGTTTAACATGGAAAGAACATGACCTTAAAACTTTTAACAGAATGAGTGATATCCATATGGGACTAAAATCATTTGTTAAAAAGTAGCATGCATGTGGAAAAGCATAAAAACGTTACGAGAACAAATTAAAAAAAGGAATGAAACATATAAAGTAATGATAAAGTATATACCTGCAGTGAATACGAACGAGTAAGTTGGCCTATATACAGTATTTTCAAGTCTTCGTAATATTCCTATTTCAATCAGTCTTCTGTTAGGAATTAAATGCTGAGATCACGCCAAAGAAATATATTAATACTTTTAGTTTCATCCACCTCATCTTCGCTGCCTCACATTTCACCCTATTGTTCAACTCGCAAATCGAGCTACGTCCCAAGCTCTTGAATTCCCAATCAGAGGAGCAATTCGATACGGAGACCCTCATGATTCCGGCCGACTTCACGGAGCTGGACATCTACGATGGGATAAAGGAGAAAGTGGCTGGCCGGGACATCGGTGTCCTGGTGAACAACGTGGGGATGGCGAGCGACCCCCAGCCCTTCCTAGATGTCCCGGAGGGCGAGAAGACGTTCCAGGACATGCTCCTGGTCAACAATATGTCCATGGTTCGAATGACCCACATGATCCTTCCTGGGATGGTGAAGAAGGGAAAGGGGGTCGTTATCAATGTCTCCTCTGTTGCTGGCATCTCCCCGGTTCCTTTCATGACAACCTACTCGGCAACAAAGGTATTTTAAAATATTTTTCCTACCAATCTTCTCAGATGAAGAATGCAGGACACGTGTGCATGCACTCATACCAGAGTTGTACCTATGATATGTTAAAAGCCACTAACATTCGTCGTTGCAGGCACTTTCTTTTCCATCTTAGTTCTCCCGAACCTCCTTGAATAAGGTTGAAAAGTTTGTCTTGTTTATCACTTTAACCATACGGAAAGACGTGACGAGGACGAGGGGGATCGAATACCAATGAAGTAGCAAGAATCTGGACTCAAAGTGAGAATGGTGTTGTGATTGAGGCTTTCTACGGCCGAGGTACCGTCTCTAGGACGAATTTTTTGCTTGTACAACTGGTAACTAGTACTAAATGGGAGTTTGGACACACTCACATGCCTGACGCCCACGGTATAAACTCTCTATGTAGGTATCACGCCTTTGGACTGATTTATGGGACGAGAATGCGTGAATTGATCGGTCAAAAGAAACCGAGCGCGACCGGCATCACACATTCTCAGGGCATACACCTTTTCTTTGACTGGGCCCCCTCATCCACACTCTCATCGACACCACCAAATGTGATGCGGACGAGGTGGCCAACTATCCTGAACTCTCTCAATCTCACACCTATAAACTTCTTCGTCTGGGTTTATATCAAAGAAAAGGTATATGACAAGGGACTATGTGATGTGACAGACCTAAGGAACCGCTTAGGGGAAGCATTTACCAGCCTTACGCAGGAAATGTTAGTGGGCGGCACTCTCGTACCGCTGGGTGCTGTTGTCGTCAGCGATACGGTTGACATGTGGGTGACAGACAAGAATATGCATGAGACAATACATTAACACAAAAAATGTACAGGTTCATGCAGGGGGGATTTCATGGCGATGAAGTACTTTGCTATTGATTTATGACAGGTTATTTTTGAGTTATACCTTCATGGACATCTTGTATATTGCAGGTTGGATATTAGTTTTTTCCCCTGCGGTCATTCAGGATTTAATAGCTTAGCATAGCTCTGAATACCAATAATTTTAAATTAAGGTGTCCCCCCGCGTACTGAAAAAGAAAATCCCGGTAATTAATTGCACGATCATTCTTAAAGTGATGTACGGTATTTTCGGGAAACTATGCATCATTTCACCTTCCTTTCAGGCATTCGTTGACAGTTTTTCTCGGAGTCTGGCCTATGAATACAAAGACAAAGGGATTCACGTCCACCTCGTCGGTCCTGGGTCAGTTTTCCTCAAAGGCAGACCAGCAATTACAGTCATTTCCATTTCATTGTTTAAAAAAGGGCAGTGAATATACTACTATTCCTTTCTTTATATACCACGAACTGCATTTAGTGAAGAAGCGCTCTGTCAGACTTGATTGTAAACCGCTGTTGAGCAGTTAAGCTGTTGCTGTTCAAGTGGCTTTTGTCCTGAATTACTGCACACTATATTGGGCTTTGCTGTTTTTAACTTGGCGAGCAGGTTCGTGTACACGAAGATGGCTGACAAATTCTTTATACCCATGAAGATGGCTCAAATCGCGTTTCTACGCTGTTTCGTCTCAATGACGAAATTGAAAGGCTCATCACACTTCGAAAATTGCGAGCATGACCATTACGCAACACTCAGTTCAATATTAAAGAGATGATTTTAGCCTTACTCAAAGCAATCGCCCACATGGTACATTGATTTCTGGATGAAATGTCAGAAATTAAGTTTCTCCGAGTGGAGAAACTCCACCACGAATAGGTGGACACTTTTTCCTTCCCACAAGCTTATGCGAACTCTATCTCGAAGAGTCTAAGTACATTTCGCTACGGCGGAAACTTACCTGCCATCTCACGTCTATTTTTGGGACCTTATTTTCTTGAGTAACTGTCAGCTTGTTGCGAATTACCCTGCATCGGTTTTTACTTCTCCTGACCTCGTGAACCGATTGGTTTTGGCCAATAGACAATTTCATATTTCTAATAAAGATCTTTCTAATGGTAACCATGACGTCGGTGGACAGGATTGGACACTCTGTCATTGTATAATTACGTTCTTTTCCAATAAATGGGAACTCAGAGGTTTTTTTTTCACTTGAGTTCTTCAATGCTTAATGATACACGCTCTAAATTTCACAGCTCAATATTTGGCAGCTTTTACGCAGGAGCACTAAACGACAAACAGAAGGCGACGTGCAACTTACTGCTGCTGTTAATGCATTTTTCTCAATCACTCCTCACTTACCTCACTTCTGTTTCAAATGCATTCATTAGGATTTGGAGATAAAAATAGTTGACCCGAAATTGCGAAGGATGAGCAGATGGTGAATCTGGAACCAATACTTGTTTGTTAAAATGGCATGAGGCATTTCTTTCAAGTGAATGTGAATGTAAAGATGATGTTTGAATATAAATTTACGAAGGCTTCCCCCTCTCTTCCTCAGTGCAGGACTCACCATAACGTTAGGCGTTGACGTAACCCGTGAACTGCATTGAAGTCAGGCGTAGGCCTACTTTCCGTCGCTTAAGAGACTCTCAACCCTCGACTTACGTGGCAAATTAGCCCTATAAGGGTCCGTCCATATCGGGTTATTAAGGCGTTTCGGTGTGGGTGTAGAACGCCAGCAACGGAGGAGACATTATCACGACCCCCTTTCCTTTCTCCACCATCACGGGAAGGATAATCTTGGTCATCTGGACCATGGACAGATTGCTGACCAGGAGCATGTCCTGATACGTCTTCTCGCCCTCTGGGACATCTAGGAAGGGCTGGGGAGGGGGAGGGGGGGGGGGGGGGGGGGGGGGGTGGTTCGTCATGTGCACCAGTTGTTCACCAGGACTCCGGTGTCCAGGCCAGCCACTTTCTCCTTTATCCAATCGTGGATGTCCAGCTTCGTGAAGTCGGCCGGAATCATGAGGGTCTCTGTGTCAAATTCCTTCTCTGACGGGGGATTTCCAGACAGAACCCCATATGCGATTTGATAATTAGGATGAAATGTGAGAGATGGAAAATGATGCCTAATTGGCTTCATGAGACTAATATTTATTCATTTTTCTTGTATACTGGTACAATCGCCTTAAATTTGTTAAATGCAGATAATTAAAAAATGAATTAAGTATTGAAGAATACAGATACAAGATCAATAAAAACAAAGGTATCCCTGTCGGACAGTCACATACTAAGGCGTGCCTAGGTACTATGGTTATGAATTTAGCGAGATCCTCAGGGGATGAGATTCACTCCTTCTACCGTGAATCATGCTTCATTTTGTGCCTCTGAATGATGACAATAGCCCAACAGCTAATATTGCGTTCTACGAGGCTCTTCCTCGGTAGAGGGACATTTCCCCCCTTCTCCCTTGGAAGTTCTGCGGAGTCCGTCTAATGTGCTAAACGCAAATTTAGGCCGTCCTGACCTTTACTCAGGAAAGCTGTATCTGAAGCTGGGATGCTGCAAGTTTCATCCTGGTGCGCTCCACCGAAAGTGCCGGCGTTATCATAGACCCTGGGAATGCCCTCAGAAGGAAAATTCCAAACTTCAACTCGACGAAATTCCGAAAGTTCGCTTCGGCTTCTCTCGTCCCTTTTTTTTACAGAGTCCTTTCGCAGAAATGACAGTAACCAGCATGCGTGGTTGAGTAGTCTGTGAAACTTTCGAGAACTTTTTTTCTGCTGCATATTAGCACTTTTGAAAACGTCCATTTTTGACCACGAAACTTTGAGCTGGTGGATTCTCTCGGGTTGCCATCTGTCGGCCGTTTTCGCGATCGTCTTGGTGGACCTCCGAAGAGACAGAGATTTTATGCTCTTAGCTCCTTTCCCAAGTCATTGTTTCAGCTTCCCCGACACAGCTCAGAACACCGTAAATCCCTCTGGACCGGACGATAAAACCTTTCTCCCTGTCCTGCAAAGCTGACAGAATATGAACATTTAGCGCTGGAAATAACAGAGTATACCCCCTCACGAAGTAGCGACTTTCAGGGGCGCATTCCGACTCGCCATCCTGAAATTACTGACTTGCTAGAAGCACAAGATAAACATCCACCCTGTAAATATTGAGGCAAAGAAAATTTACTTCAAGGACGGCGCATTACTGTACAAAGTTTTTCACTATATTAACCAAACATCCCTCCGGGTAAGCATGATGGACGTTAATATTTAAAAAAAACAAACAAACATATTACTTATATCCTGAGCCACAGCCTCGAGCTTCTTGGGGTTCCTGCTGATCAAAACGATTTTCATCCCATGCCGCGCCAGCTGTAACGAAAGCAAAACCGTGAAGACTTTCATTTCTTGTGAGATCGTCGTTTGAATATTTATTTGCGAGCCTCACCTCCTTCGCGTAGCTGAGTCCGATCCCGTCCGTGCATCCCGTCACCACTGAGAACAGAAAGGAGTGTGCCAATGAATACATAGCGATCTTAATATGGGGATACATCTTATTATGTCGTATTTTGTTGAGCTCGGGCGGCACCCCATCAGAGGCATGCCATCCCATGACCTCCTCAGGAACTAGAAGCTCCAGATCTCCTACACGCCACACCCTAAATATATTTCTCCCTATTGTCTGCACTGGCGTGTACTGTATGCCTAAATACTCCGTTTACAAGAATTTGAATTACTTGGGGGAATCTCTTTTCTCACCTGCCCAGGCGCCATAGGAGGTAAGAGGAGGGTAAGAACCGAAGCCGTGAATGAAGAGCCTTCTTATTAGGTGGAAAAGCTGGACGCCTGCCCCATCGATCACCGAGAATGTCATCGTCCACGAAGCAAGCGATCACAAGAAACATGGCTCTTCCATTCTCCTATTGCTTTCTTCGTCCGATCTGAAAGGCAAGAGGCAAATTCGCTTTTTCC